GTGGTGTTAAGTCATTGTAAGTTTCAAACCTTAAATTAGTACTTAGTTCGAGTTTAGTAGAATAACATAGAGATTGACGTACCTTCGAAAAGGTGAGACTCTGCCTCGGGAGAGCTGTGGGAGTGCAACCAGCTTGTCACTTGATGATATTTATGTTAACCTATTTTCGCTGGTGCTAGCTGCATTCTTTAGGGCTTGTGTCAGCAATATTTCTGTTTGAGGGATATCGACGTAGTTCCAAGTAGACATTGAATTGATCTACATTTTGGGATGATGGTTAGTAACTCTGCCCGTCGTCCCACTTAATCCTCCACATGCCGAGTTGAAGCCTTGCCATGCATTACTCAATGAGTGGTTCACGTGGTATGGTATGAACCTACCTGCAACAGATGTTGTGAAATTTTTGTTTATAATTATTGCTTAATTAAGAGGATTGAGATTGAAAATGAGAAAACGGCTAGATTGTGTTATTTAAGTAAAATTTTAATCATAAATAATAATAACTAATCACGTTTTAGATCAATTATAAAGTTTGGAGGAAAGGGAATTATGCTTCCTTATTGGTTGATCAAGAATCTTGAAGGATAATTTTTTTCATATAAAAAAATATCTCTTCTTGTAATTCCTTAGGTCCAGGATCGAGAATTTGGAATTCAAATTCGATACCTAATAGTCCCAACATTCCCTGCAATTTGTAACATCTCAGGCTCACGATTTGGACTAGTATTAAGAATATGGATTCAACATCTAATGGCCTTAGCATTCTCCTATATCCCCCACTCTGGTTGTGTCACCGTCTTAATTCGAGCTAGCTAGGGAGGTGCATATTATTAGTACAGGTAGTTACTACTAATAAGTGTTTCTTAATCATGCTTGCTTGATCTGAAGATTCCTTTCATTCAGATATGATGTCGGTTTGTTCATGCTCCCCTTTTCTTTACTCGAGTGTCACACTTTTCTTTCTCCCTCCTTGAGTTTATTTCTTTTACCTGTCAAAAACTTAGCGGTGGAGAATAACAATATTCTACTGTTCAATAAATAAGAAAATATTACCTAAAGGCCATAAATATTTGGGGTGGGGGAGATGTAGGAAAAAAATTTCTCAGTCTCCAAATGGGAATATCTTTTGCCCCATTTAGGGTGGGGCTGACGACATATTTCATTATCTCTAKATTTTTATGTAGATTTGTTTTTTTTAAGATATATGTATGAAACTTTATCCATCACTTAAAATTTTCATTAACAAAACAAATTTTTATGGCAAAGGTTTTTTTTTTTCCTTTTTTAATTGGATAAAATCAAAATGTTTGATAGTACACTGACCAAAATAAAATAGGCTTATGAAAGTTTTTGAAGAAATGTATAATTTAAATCTAAAATTTAATTGGTTGCTTTTTGTGTGAAAAAAAAAATGTTTCCATCAACGTACTGTTTTTATTGTGACATTTTATGGGACCTGACTCATTCCTCCTCCTTTTTTATTTCACCAATAAATAAAAAGACATAAAGAAAAATAAACAAACAAATCATAAATAAAAAGACATATAGATTTGGACAGCCACCTCGAATTTCAAATTCTTCATTTTATCACTTTTATTAAAACTTAATCTAATCCGAATTAAACAAACACCAAAATATAACTTTTTAAAAATAAAAAACCCATAGATTTACCATACTTTAATTATTCAAACTATTCAAAATAATTGATGGGGTTCAACAAAAAAAAAATATATTGAACCATGCACCCACTTTAACCTAAACTAAGAAAATCTTATTATATGGTGCAATTAGTTGATATGTATGAGTTATAAAATTTTTATAATGAAGGAAACAATTTTGGAATCTAACTTTTTGTACCTATAACATCTCGCTTCTAAAAATTTCAAATTAAAAGAAAAATTTTTAAATTTCAACATTTGATTTACTTTCCTGTATATCAAACAAATTAAGAAGAGATAATCTCTCATTCCTTCTTCACTCCCGTCTTGTCTATACCTCTGATTTATGAAAAAAAACATACCAAATATTATTAATTTCTCAAAACATGAGAGAGTGTGACAGCAAAACATCAGCTAATTGGTAATAAAATTGAGGAACTACATGTTTAGCACATTAGTAAAGAATATTAATTAATTTTGGAACACTTGGGCATGGCCTTCCTTAATTGTAATGCTTTGTTTGGTTGTTTGTAATTTAATTTGAAAAAGAAAAAGAAAAAAAAAACCAAAGTTCCCCACTTTCACATGCCTCATTGTTTGTTTCTCTCCGATACCCACTTGATTTGCTCTCTCAATCCTTTGACTTGGGATTTTGCACTTTCTGCCAAATCCCAATATTAAATTTATTGCACTTTCCATTTTATTTTATTTAAATTAAACCAAATTGAAGAAGTCTTTGGTGTCCATTTTTCAACCAAATGATTTTCCCCCATTTTTATTTGGTTGGGAATTGGGATGGTGCTTCACTGGCAAATTTCTAGGTGTGTTGTTGGCTCTCACAACTCATCCATAAGTTTGATTATTATTTTTTTGTTTAATCAATAATTTTGAGATTACAAAGATTGGATGGTTCATTAATCAACATTTTGAGAGGTTAAATGAGAGGGAGAACATGTGCACAAATATTTAGCCTACCTAATTGATGATTTTTCTCTAGAAAAAAACACCTGACAAAATCATGCCCACCTGAAAATTTCCAATAATTTGGGATTTGTTTTTGAAGAGCAATGATCTTGGAGAATCAATGATGCTATTAATTAAATACCCTTTTGATAAACTCTGTTGTTTTTCTTTGATTTCTTCTTTTCTTTTTGGTGTCCATTTCTTGGTGTGTGTGTGTTTTTTTTTTTTGAAAAGGTATGTGCGTGTCTTATTGATGTGTGTTTCAACATGTTTCTTTTGTTTAATAAAAAAAAAATATCAAATACGACATTTTTTCTATTAAAATGGATATTGATTGAAACTATACCTAAACTATAGTTTTGACAATCATTTTATTGGAAATATATGTC